TATATATATATATATATATATATATACACACACACACACAGTTGAATTATTAGCACCCTGCTTATTTTTTCCCCAATTTCTGTTTAACAGAGAGAATATTTTTTTTTCATTTCTGAACATAATAGTTTTAATAACTCATCTCTAATAACTGATTTTTTTTTAAATCTTTGTCATGATGACAGTAACAATCATTTTACTATATGTTTTTAAAACTTCCATCCATCCATCCATCCATCCATCCATCCATCCATCCATCCATCCATCCAGAATATATACCATTCTTGTCATTATTGTCAAAATATATGTAAAGAAATACTTGTTGTTGCCTTCAGAATAAGGTTCGTAATTCAATTGATCTTGTGTGTAAAAGGAGACAGGAACACGGTGAGAAAACCTCTCATGTATTGACTGAAACATGAGGCCTGCTCTCTCTTGAGGTGTTTTTTAAAGCATCTTTCCATTCTCGCCTTGCATTAACGTCTCTGTCAAGGTTTTCATCCTCCCTTGCTTAAATTGCTATTGAATTTTCCAACCGTCTAATGTGTTGTTTCATCTCAGAGGTATTCACTATTGAGCTGTGACTTCTTACAACAACACATAACCTTCATATCCAGTACTTTTATGAATAGAGCTCAAAAATCCTTTCAAATAACACTGCACAAAAATATGCGAGGGTTTTATGTTACATTTAGGTTGAAAAACCTGCTACCCGAGTTTGAGACATATTTAATAACCAGTAAACAATTACAGCAATTTATGCTTTAGATTACAGCAAATAAACAAGCCATCAGCAAGTAAAACAGCCAACAGTCTTGTTCTTTCCCCTATATGTAAATCCACGTACTTCTAAGCTCTGAGATCATCTTCTTGATGGCTGCCAAGTGACTTGCTACATGATACAGTGCACTCACCTTAGTTCTCAATATTAATGTGATGCTACTAGTCTATCGTGTGGTAATGATCTTTTTGGCATCTAACGTGTCACTTTAGTACATTTAGATTCATATTATATATACAGTAGTCAACATTTGGTGTGGTTTGAAACCTTGCATTAAAGTTGTCCTAAAATTATTGAATAGCACTCAATCTTACCTATATATGACTCAAAACATACATTCAGTTAACTTCCATATAGAAATATCTGTTTATATTTTCCAAAAGTCTACAACATACTTGTTGTAGAAATTGCACAACCCAAAAGAAATGCTGCTAATCAAAATGATAAGTGTTGTCTTTCCATAGAACAAAAATGATTGATTTTATTTTATTTTACATTTTGCATTTTTGAACAAAAACCTTCATTATGGATGTAACAGATGTGGAATTGCCACTTATGTGACCTGGTCAATCAAATATAATTTGTCACCTTAGAATTATAAGGTTCTATCTGCGTTCTGAATGGGTTTGAGATATTGAGCTTCAAAGTTTTTGCATTCCATAGCAAACAGTGTGTGTAACATTTGTTTTTTTACATAAAAAAGTCCTAAAATGTAAACATTTTATAAAAAACATCCTATAATGTAAATAAGTTGTTATTTAAGAGAAATATGTCTAACTCAATTTTTACAAAAATGTCAGATAGAACCTTATAATTCTAAGGTGACGAATTATTTGAAAACCTTTTTGAGTATTTTTACAGTACTGTAAAATACAGGCTTACTCAAAAACTACAAGCATACTTGTTTTTATATTTTGCTTTCAGAAATTAATTTATTAATTTATTAATTAAAGTTAAGATATTTATGGTTATTATTGAATGCACTCACCAACATTTTAAAAGTCAAATCTCAAAAATCTTGGTATATCTCTATATCTCTTTATATATAATTCCTCCATTTAACATAATTATGTTTTTGTATTTTCTACTCTATTCTATTCTAAACTATTTTATGTAATGTGTGAACTGACTGAAAACAGGAACATTGTTCTAAGGAGGTTCGAAATCTTTTTTTTTTTCCTGTTGATTTAGGTACAATACAATTCTTTATCAACTTACAAATGGTTGTCATTCAATAATGCAAAAATAAATTACATTATTTTCAGAAGTACAACCCTAAATCAGAAAAAGCTGGGACACTATGGAAAACACAAATAAACAAAAAGAAAATAGTGATTTATAAATTGAGTCAGACAATGCAACAAATATTATTTAATGTGTTCTCATGATTTTTTATGTTTTTTTTTTTTTAGTAAACATAGACTGCGTCCGAAACAGCATACTTCAGTAGTATACAGTACTCTAATATCAGTATTTGAGCTGAGTAGTATGTCCGAATTCATAGAATTCGAAAATCAATATGCGAGAAGTAGCCGGATGACTTACTACTTCCGGCGTGATTCTGAAGTGCGCATTCCATGCACACTGTGCTATCCCATGATGCTCCGCAAGAGAATTCATGAATGGAAGAAAAGCGGCGCAACTGGCGCAGGTAGGTCACGTGACCATAACAAAATGGCGGATGTAGTTCCAGTCATGCTTTTCAAATTCATACTTTATGGAGCATACTGTTCTAACGGTCGAGTAGTAGGTTTAAATTCAAATGCAGTACCTACTGAGTAGTAGGCGGTTTCGGACGCAGCCATGTATTCTATTTTAGTTTTTTGCAACACATTTAAGAAGAGTTGGAACAGTAAAACTTTTACCAGTTTGTAGCGTCACCGTTCCTTTTCACATCACTTAAAAGACATTTAGGGACTAAAGACACCAAGTGTTGTCCCATTCTTCCTGCAAACTATTCTTAAAGTGGGCAACAGTACGAGGTCTTCGTTGTAATGTTTTGTGCTTCAAAATGTGCCACATGTTCTCTATTGGAGACAGGTCGGGACTGCAGACAGGCCAGTCAACTACCTGTATCCTCTTGATCTGCAGCCAGGGCTGAGTAATGTGTGCAGAATGAGGTTTAGCATTGTCTTGTTGAAATATGTATGGGCGTCTCTGGAAAAGAACCATCATTAACGGTACCATCACAGAAGTGCAAGTTACCTTTGCTAAGCGGACTGACACAACTGTACCTGTAACCGGTCAGTACCTGGATGGGAGACCACATAGGAAAGCTAGGTTGCAGAAGGAAGCGGTGTTAGTGAGGCCAGCTGGGGGTGCCCAACCTGCGGTCTGTGTGGGTCCTAATGCCCCAGTATAGTGAGAGGGACTCTAGTGGGTGCCATCTTTCGGATGAGACATTAAACTGAGGTTCTGACTCTCTGTGATCGTTAAAAATAAAAAGTAGGGGTTTCACCCTGGCATCCTGGCCAAATTTGCTCACTGGCCTCTGTCCATCATGGCCTCCTAATCATCCCCAAATCATAATTGGCTTCATCACTGTGTCTCCTCTCCACCAATCAGCTGGTGTGTGGTGTGCGTTCTGGCGCGAAATGGCAGCCGTCACGTCATCCAGATGGATGCTGCACACTGGTGCCCAGAAAAGCGCTATATAAATGTACGGAATTATTATTATACCATGACAGACACTGGCTTTTAGACGTTGCTGGTAACAGTCTGGATGATCTATTTCTTCTTTGGTCCTCAGCACACGGCATCCATTTCTCCCCAAAAAATCCTGAAATACTGAATCATCTAACCACAGTGCACATTTTCACTGTGTGATGGTCCAACCCAGATGCCTCCAAATCCAAAGAAAATAACGGGGTTTCTGGACACTGTTAACATAGGGCTTCCTTTTAGCACAGTACAGTTATAACCGGACTTTGTGGCTGTAACTATGTATTGTGGTACTTCACAAAGGTTTGCCAAAGTACTCCTAAGCTCATGTGGTGATTCATGTAAGCTCTTATAGATGAATGACGATTGTTGATGCAGTGAATTCAAGATGCAGAGGGATCGGATCGAAACATGTTGCAAGAACCAAAACTGGAATACGTGTTTATTTTGGAAAAAAATCATGAGGAGCGCACTAAATAATATTTTTTTGTATTGTCTGCAGTAAAATACAAGTCAAAGTAAATTTGGAAATCACTACTTTTTCTTCTGTTTTTCATAGTCCCAACTCTTTCTGATTTGGGGTTGCACCATTTTGGCAATAGCCCCTAACATTATTAAGTATTAAAATGACTAAACAACTAAAAGTTTTATACTTTATTCTGCATAAACAATTCACTCTAATGTTTTGGTCTCTCGTGTTCCCTTTTTTTTTTCTATGCCCAGATGCGTCTAAGAAAGACGTGCCAGAGGACTTTGACATCGACATGGACGCCCCTGAAACCGAGAAGGCAGCCGTCGCCATTCAATCGCAGTTCAGGAAGTTCCAGAAGAAGAAGAACGATGACAAGTCGTAGTTCTCTGTCCGTTCGGCTCCATCAGGACAGCATGGTTTGATGTTGCATGTAATAGAATCCATTCTGTGTGGACTCAAGGGAGGGGGGGGTGGGTGGGATAAAGGTCATAATCTGTCAATCACTCATCTAACCTGTTATTTTACTGCTGTAACAGTGAATTCCAGAGTTCATGCTGATTTGCTTTACTCTTCACTCTAGCCAAGAATTGCTGTAGTGCTACAGATGCATGATTTTCTACTTTACCTCAAACTGTTTGTCCTTTATTTGTGAAAGCACAAGATGTTTTCATTGTGAGCTGCTTACCACATTGAATTTAAAGGGATAGTTACAATTTACCCACCATCGAGTACTTACAATCCCTAATGGGTTTTCTGTTGAACATCCATAGTAGAAAAATAACAAATACTATGGAAGTCAATGACTACTGGTTTCCAGCCTTATTGTGTTCAACAGAAAAGAAGCTCAAACTGTGAGTAGATGATGACATTTGCATTTATTTTTGCGTGAACTATCCCTTTAAATGGCAAACGCTTTTGTTACTAAGCATCATGTGTATATAAATATAGAGCAGAACTTTATTTTTGTTTCACACCATTAGCTGATGTAATGCTTTAGCGTGCGTTCTCATCCCAGCGGAGTTAGCTAAAAATAGCTTGTGTTTTGAAACTCATATTGTTGAATAATTCCCAGCTTATTTTCCCCAAATCCTCACGGTGCGCTCAGCTCTCTCTATTGATTCGTTTCTGTGTTGAATTCCATGCTGGATGAAATGACTCTAGAGTGAATGTTTGAATTTGCTGTGGCATATCATAACATTTCTGTGGATTTGTTTCCTTTGCTAAGGACAATGGCACAAACATTAGCCAAACCGCACACTCAGTTTCTATCTCACCTCAAATAATTTCTCAACTCAGTATGATTGAAGCAAGAAACTGTTAATAAACATCCTTGAGTCTCTGGAACTAAATGCTGTGTTGTCTTTTCATTAAAATGCAAACGGGAGCAGAAATTTTGAATTAATAAAATATGAAAACATCAGTAAGGTCTCTCACATAATGTAGAATCGGAAGGTTCTTATTGACCATATTTGGAATGGTCTTGACTATTAATGAGCTCTGCTCTGAGCCCTCATTAATTCCTTCCCCCTCCAATTTATATTCATAAATGTTTAAAATTGTTAGTTAAAGTAATGGGCAAAATGATTCAAAGGATATAAGCTACTTTATTTGATAGACAACTGTTTATCTTTTTGTTTACAATTTTGTGGTCGTTATTTCAATATGATTACAAAGCATTTACAGTTATATGCATACAATTTTTCCAAGTTGAGTCTATACGGTTTAAAGAACTGTGTAGATTCTTGTGTGTGTGATTCACATAATCCCGAATATACTATGCCATAATCTTTTCCTGCTGTTTTTCTGGTGTAAATAATAGATGTACAGTACATGCTCCTGTCATTTATTATGCTGCATTAAGTTATTTTTAAAGGGCCCATGCGATTAAAACTTAAGTTTCAAAACGCAGCACAACCACATATTCTTTTCAAGCCCTCTTAAATGGCTTCTTTTGAGATTGAAAACTGATGATGTCACATAAAATAAAACCAGAAGGTCCTTATTGACCATATTTGGAATGGTCGTAACTATTAATAAGCTCTGCTCTGATGTTAGCCCTCAGTGATTCCTTTTTCCTTCTCCTATACATTCATAAATGTTTGAAATTGTTAGTTAAAGTAATGGGCGAAATGATTCAAAGAATATAAGCTACTTTATTTGATAGACAACTGTTTTTCTTTTTGTTCACAATTTTGTGGTCGTTATTTCAATATGATTACAAAGCATTTAAAGTTATATGCATACAATTTTACCATGCAAAGTCTATACGGTTTAAAGAACTGTGTAGATTCTTGTGTGTGTGATTTAAATAATCCCAAATATACTATGCCATCATCTTTTCCTGCTGTTTTTCTGGTGCAAATAATAGATGTACAGTACATGCTCCTGTCATTTATTATGCTGCATTAAGTTATTTTTAAAGGGCCCATGCGAATAAAACTCAAGTTTTAAAACCCAGCACAACCCACATATTTTTTTCAAGCCCTCTTAAATGGCTGCTTTTGAGATTGAAAACTGATGATGTCACATAAAATAAAACCAGAAGGTCCTTATTGACCATATTTGGAATGGTCATGACTATAAATGAGCTCTGCTCTGATGTTAGCCCTCAGTGATTCCTTTTTCCTTCTCCTATACATTCATAAATGTTTGAAATTGTTAGTTAAAGTAATGGGCGAAATGATTCAAAGGATGTAAGCTACTTTATTTGATAACTGTTTTTCTTTTTCACAATTTTGTGGTCGTTATTTTAATATGATTACAAAGCATTTAGAGTTATATGCATACAATTTTTCCATGCAAAGTCTATACGGTTTAAAGAACTGTGTAGATTCTTGTGTGTGTGATTTAAATAATCCCAAATATACTATGCCATCATCTTTTCCTGCTGTTTTTCTGGTGTAAATAATAGATGTACAGTACATGCTCCTGTCATTTATTATGCTGCATTAAGCTATTTTTAAAGGGCCCATGCGATTAAAACTCAAGTTTCAAAACCCAGCACAACCCACATATTCTTTTCAAGCCCTCTTAAATGGCTGCTTTTGAGATTGAAAACTGATGATGTCACATAAAATAAAACCAGAAGGTCCTTATTGACCATATTTGGAATGGTCGTAACTATTAATAAGCTCTGCTCTGATGTTAGCCCTCAGTGATTCCCTTTTCCTTCTCCTATACATTCATAGATGTTTGAAATTGTTAGTTAAAGTAATGGGCGAAATGATTCAAAGGATATAAGCTACTTTATTTGATAACTGTTTTTCTTTTTGTTCACAATTTTGTGGTCGTTATTTTAATATGATTACAAAGCATTTAAAATTATATGCATACAATTTTTCCATGCAAAGTCTATACGGTTTAAAGAACTGTGTAGATTCTTGTGTGTGTGATTTAAATAATCCCAAATATACTATGCCATCATCTTTTCCTGCTGTTTTTCTGGTGTAAATAATAGATGTACAGTACATGCTCCTGTCATTTATTATGCTGCATTAAGTTATTTTTAAAGGGCCCATGCGATTAAAACTCAAGTTTCAAAACGCAGCACAACCACATATTCTTTTCAAGCCCTCTTAAATGGCTTCTTTTGAGATTGAAAACTGATGATGTCATGATTAACATTCAACATTATTGTATTTAGCTTTTTTTTTTTTGTGGATTTTAATGAATATATTTTATGGTGTGTAAACATGGGAATGGTAATAATTATTATTATTTTGCTCTTTGAGGTGGCACAGGTAAACACATATATTTTTTATAATAGTGTGTTTATAATAGACCCACATGTGAAATTTTGTCAAAAAATAAAATCAGTTGATATATCTGATATTTTCAATTTGCAGTTTAATTTGACAGTGTTTGCCTTGGGCTCACAACATCCTGTAAATAAGTAAATTAGTTTGCGGGAACTGTAAGGTCCAATAAATTTAGCCAATTAATAAACAGGTGTATATATATATATATATATATATATATATATATATATATATATATATATATGTGTGTGTGTGTGTGTGTGTGTGTCACAATCACCAGCAATCTACAACCAGAGATCGTGAACTTCAAAGCAGCCATTTATGGACTACAACACCCAGTCATACACACACACACCTGCTCTAAGTCTCCACTGATTAGACTCACACAGCTGATGCTGCTTCTGGACTGATTACTGCACTACATAAGCAGCAAATTAAATTCTAATTTAAATGTTGTGCCTGTTGAAGTACTAGGCAATTTCGGACACAGACTATTTGATTGGTCAGAAGATTTGATGAAAAACTAGAGCATGTGGTGACATAAAATATCATCAATTCATTTGTGGATCCATCAAACCAATTCATTTCAATTGCCTTGTGAATTAAACTTGTCCGGTACACTGTTTACTCTTACTGAGGCACTTAATCTCAATCATTAAAAGGGCACCTATCATGTATGCAGAGGTGACAAACTTTGCAAGCTTTGAATGTTTATATCTTAATTTGAATTTTATTACTGCTTTAGAGCATAGTAGCTTGTAGATGTCATTAACACATCTAAATAAATAGTATCAATATACAAATCTATCCTAACATAAAAAACTAACTTTATTTTGATTTCACAGCAACTTTAAATCTTTTTTTTTAATTTGATTAACATACTCTACTACTCAACATCAAGACATGGACATCTGCCTTATTTTAAATGAGAAGACGCTCCTCTGAACACTCATTCTCGATTTCATCTAATTTGCGATCTCATTTCATCTACACATAAAAACCCTATTAATCCACAAAAAAAGGCTTTTGCGGAGCTCAGTCTCTCATTTGCATATGCTATACTGATATCATAGTCAAATGGCTGACAGTGCAAGCGATGACCCATCTTCCCTCAGCAGATGTAAGGTGAAAGCACTTTTTGAAAGAACAGCGCTCCTACCCTTCATTTCCTCTGAAGGTCACAGTTTGCACAGAGTAATACATTATTTACACGGAATCCTCTTGTGCACTTGAGCCTGGATCCTCTCTCTCTCTCATACACACACACACACACAACCCTCCTGAGCCTCTATGCAGACGGGATCCATGAAGAAACACCCCTAGAAAGATTAAAAGCCAGGAATGGGAAAATAACACCATCCGTGGAGCTGACAGGAGGAGATGAGCTAAGAAAGAAAACAACATATTGGTGCTTTATGTGCTCAGAAAAAAAAAAAAACAGCACCGGCCATATGCTTGTATGTTCCTCCTTGAGAAGTGTCTTACAGTAGATATAGCTCTTCTGGGATCTCAGTAGACCAAAACAGCTGTCTTACTACCTCTAGGGCCTAAAAGCACTGCGATCAATTGGAGGAAGAACGTTGCCAGAGGAGGTGTACTATGTTTCATACAGTTATGGTAATGCTTCTATGCTCAACTGGTCGGTTGTCACTCAAAAACTGGTCACACTAAAACATAAACAAATCATTGATGTAACTGACTGAACTATGATCAACTCATTCAGGGTATATGCAGAAATGCTAAAGGTAATTTCAATACCTTTTAAAGCCTTTTAAAGACCTCAGAATATTTTAAGACCTCATCTCTTCTTCAAGTTGTAATCAGAATCAAACAGAGATGTATAAAGTACTAGAGACCCAGACTTAAGTAAAAGTACAAATGCTCTATCAAAAAGGGACTTGAGTATAAGTTGAAGTGCTCTTTAAGCACCATACCTAAGTGGAAGTAGTAAAGTATTCAACATTTTTTGTACTTAAAGGGCCATGAAACCCCATCGTTTCAGCAGGGTGTTTTCACACCTCTACTTTGGAAAAAGTCAGGGCGTGTCCAGCTCTGTTTAGAAGGGAGTGTCGGAGGAAGAAAAGAGGCTTGGTGTGGGAGTGTCTATTTGGGCGCGCTGACTTTCCGAGTCAAAACACACACCCACAGGGGACAAAGTGACTGTGTTTACATGGACATCAGTAATCGAATTATTTGCCAAATTAATAAATGGTGGACTTTAACTGCAGTTTGGCTCTTTCATTCAGGGAATTCATTCACGTCCCTCGTGACAAATTAGATATTTGAATCGAGGAACTGCTGTAAGCGTGTATTCTTCATGCAATGTTTGATACTGCACGGCGAATAAGAGAATAAAAAAACCCAGCATTTCCCGGAAACTTAGATGCACACGGCAGGTAGTGTCAGAAAGCCGCGTGTGTTTTTCCGGTCACAAAATGCGGTGAAAATCCTACACGAGGTTTTAGTTTGTTTGTAGTGCTAACATGTTTACACTCGGTGCAATAATTTATCCGATACGAACAAACTGAATAAACAAAGAGCACTGGTCGCTCACTTACCAAATCTGTAGAAACAGGACAATCACCAGCAAC